GTGTTGTGGCCACTTGGGGAGTGAATCATCGGATGGAAGATCTTCCTCTCTGTCTTTCCTCCTCTCTATATATCTGATTTTCCAATTAAAAAATCTTTTTAAAAAATCTATTTAGAAGAAAGGCAGGACTAAGAAAAGCCATAGCACCTAAAGGCAAAACAAGCTGAAACTATCAGTCTCTGGACCTAAAGTTGGCCTCAAAATGAATTCCATGTGTTTCTTAAGTCCTCCTGAGTGGGCTTTTTCTCTCCAATGCAATCAAAAGCATCTGCCTGAGACCTTTCTATTTTGCCTCTAAATGGATTCTATAGTAGGCATTCAGCTGGTATTTTTCACATCTTTCTTTCCTAGGTGAGGTTGCCATAAATGATATAAAATCTTGGTGTCCTCATTATCACAGTTCCACTTCCTGCTTTGTTCATCAAAATGATGTCAGCATATTCTGTTGACATCACTTCCTTCTGAATCAACACTCGCCTTCTATTAATACAAGGCCAGAACCACATCTCAATGTCATTCAGTAACCCAACATTTTTATATAAACTGGGCAATGTGTGGTGCTATATTTGCTCATTTAAAATATTTATGGACTATCTAATAGATCTCAGACTTTTAGAATAAAAAAACAGTAAGCTCTTGTGGAAGCCCAGGATTGAGTTCCTGACTCATGCCTTTGATCTGGCCCATGTTAGCATCTGAAGAGTGAAACAGTGGAAAGGACAAGTCCATCTGGCACTCTGCCTTTCAACATGTAAAAATAAACAAGAAAAGTAACCATTTTAAAGGCAATCATTTATAAAAAAGAAAATGCTCTATTTATTATTATTATTATTATTATTATTATTATTATTTAAACAGCTCTTCAGGGCCTAGCCTATGGCATAGTGGGGAGAAATGCCACCCACCCACAACACCAGCATCTTTTTTTTTTTAAGATTTCTTTATTTTTATTGGAAAGTCAGATATACAGAGAGGAGGAGAAACAGAAAGAGCTCCTGTCCAATGATTCACTCCCCAATTGGCTCAATGGCCAGAACTGAGCCAATCCGAAGCCAGGAGCTTCTTCTGGGTCTCCCAGGCAGGTACAGAGTCCCAAGGCTTTGTGCTGCTCTTGACTGCTTTCCCGGGCCACAGGCAGGGAACTGGATGGGAAGTGAGGTCACTGGAACACGAACTGGTGCCCTTATGGGATCCTGGTTTATGCAAGGCGAGGACTTTAGCCACTAGGCTACCACAGCAGGCCTGAAAACAGTCTATTTAACAGGAGTTTACTGCATCTGTCTACTCCATCTACCTACATGCAAGAAGGAGCCCAGAAACTGGTCGAGTTAAAGCTTACTCTCCTGCTCTCAAATTGTCCTTTGAGTCCCAAAGTGAGGACAAGAGATACTACATATACAGTTTCAATTCTAAAGAGATTTGGAGCCAGAAACTCTCCCAGATTTTGCGAGGAGGTGATATAGTCAATACACACCCACCAGTTCCAGCCCTCCCCTCCCACTACAGTGTATATAAAGAATGGAAAGAGGAGACAGGTGGCAGTAGTTATTATTGGACTTACAAGATATATGGTATTTGTGAGGGGAGGATATTTACTTGATTTGTTAGCATAAAAAAGAGAAAAGCTCTTCCCTTTCCTCCCCAGACCAAAGATAAGGACATTTCATGAGAGCTAGTGATAAGATCAGTGCCACCAGTGAGAAGGAGAAACTGATATTTACTTCCCTGACCAGATGTTTTTAAGCTGTTGCACCTGCCGTCCTTCTCCAGTCAGGTTGGAGGGAAGCATGCTATGAATATTTAACCGGTGCAAACCTGAAAACTCAGCTCAATGAGTTACCTAGACATTTCTGAAGTTGGAAAAAGACCAGAATTGTGCTAGCAGTTTTTGTAGGTGACTTGCTGAAATATGTCTAAAAGATATGTAGCCATTTCCCCTGAGCCAGCCCAGCCCAGCAACTTCAGTTGAAGGACTCAGATGTGCTGTAGTTTGAATGCAACTTGACTTTCACGGAACCTTAAACTCCGAAGTTATAAGCTAATGGTATTAGGAGGTGGAAACCTAGCCCAATCATGATGTTTAGATGTGGGGCCTAAAGAATGTGATTATATTGGTTTAGGTGTGTCTTCGGGGGATTCCTAGTGATCGAATCAGGGTGGCTATAAGGAAGACATGAGGAGACACAGATGGAAACAACTAACTAATGGGTATATGTTATATTCAATAGGAGTAAGAAAATCTGGGTGTTTTTTTTTTAAGATTTTTTTATTTTTTATTACAAAGTCAGATATACAGAAAGGAGGAGAGATAGAGAGGAAGATCTTCCGTCCAATGATTCACTCCCCAAGTGAGCCACAACGGCCGGTGCTATGCCGATCCGAAGCCGGGAACCAGGAACTTCTTCCAGGCCTCCCACTTGGGTGAAGGGTCCCAAGGCTTTGGGCCGTCCTCAACTGCTTTCCCAGGCCACAAGCAGGGAGCTGGATGGGAAGTGGAGCTGCCGGGATTAGAACCGGCGCCCATATGGGATCCCAGGGCGTTCAAGGGAGGACTTTAGCCACTAGGCCACACCGTGGGGCCTGGGTTTTATTTTTTTTTTACAGGTTTATTTTTATTGGAAAGGCAGATCTACAAAGAGAGGGAGAGAATAAAAATAAATAAGTCTTTTTTTTTAATTATATATTAAAAAAGATAAACAGTACTGAATAAAATATACTTACACCTCTCAGGCTACTTTCTCGCAGTAGACCACAACTGAGTCCATTGCTTCCTGTTCCTGCACACTGGAGGAGCTGTGGCAGGAGAGAGGAAGAAGAGCTATGCAACTCTGAACTGACTGTAAGAATTGGAAGGTTTTGGCTTTGGTAGAACTTGAGATGCCAGCTAGGATGCTAGCATCCTTTATCAAATCTATGGGTATCACTCTTGGTTTCACTTCTAATTCCAGCTTCTGCCAACATGTGCAGTGATAGGCTACTCATGTGGGAGACCTGGACTGAGTTCTCAACTATCACCAGTGGATGGGATTCCCCAACTGCTTCATTTATCTATCTATCTTGTTCTCTTTTCACCTCTCAATTTTTTTGAAACATTCAATGTATTGATTTGAAAGATTCACTAAGAGAGTGAGAGGGAGAGACGTCTGCTGGTTCACACCCTAAATGGCCCATCAGCCAAGGCAGGGCCAGGCCAAAGCCAGGAGCCAGGATCTTCATTTGAGACTCTAGCCTGGGTACAGGGCTCAAGGACTTGGGTTCTCAAGTTCATTAGCAAGGAGCTAAATTGAAAGTGGAACAGCCAGAACTTGAACCAGCACCCAGATTGGATGCTAGTGTGACAAGCAGCAATTTAACCCACTGCATTGCACCACTGGGCCCCAATAATTTTTTTTAAGATTGTAAAAGTATGTGTCAGGCATTGTGGTGTAATAAATTATAAGTTAATGCATGTGGTACCAACATCCCAAAGGGTGCTAATTCAAGTCCTGGCTACTCCCATTTCTGATTCAGCTCCCTGCTAATGTTTTTGAGAAAACAGTAGAATATAGCCCAAGTACTTTGGCCCCTTCTACCCATGTGGAAATTTCAGAGGAAGCTCCTCAATTCTGGCTTTTGGCCTGGTCCAACCATTGTAGCCATTTGGGGAGTAACCACCAGATAAAAGATCATGTTCTCTATCATTCTTGCAGATAAATCTTTTCTGGGGTCAGCATTGTGGTGTAGGCAGTAAGGCCGCCACCTGTGACACCAGTATCCCTTATGGACACTGCTTCATGTGTTAGCTGCTCCACTTCCAAACCAGTTCCCTGCTAATGGCTTATGGAAAACAGCAGAGGAGAGGTCACATACTTGGGTTCCTGCCACCCATATAGGAAACCCAGATGAAACTCCTGGATCCTGGCTTTAGCTTGGCCCATCCCTGACCATTGCAGCCATCTTACGAGAGTGAATGAGCAGACTGAAGAACACCATGTATGAGTCTCTCTTCCTAAACCTCTTTTCAACAAACTAATATTTAAAAATAAATACATAGGGCCTGGCAAGATAGCATAGTGGTTAAAGTCCTTGCCTTGCACGCGCCAGGATCCCATATGGTCACCGGTTCTAATCCCAGCAGCCCCACTTCCCATCCAGTACCCAGCTTGTGGTCTGGGAAAGCAGTCGAAGACAGCCCAAAGTCTTGGGACCCTTCACCCATGTGGGAGACCCGGAAGAGCTCCTGGCTTCAGATTGGCTCAACTCCAGCCGTTGCAGCCACTTGAGGAGTGGTCCATCGAACGGAAGATCTTCCTCTCTGTCTTTCCTCCTCTCTGTGTATCTGCCTTTCCAATAAAAATAAATCTTTAATAAATGAATAAAAATAAAATAAGTTATTTTTTAAAATGTGAATTATACCTTTTCTGAGTAAGGCTTGGACTTTGTCACTTGAAGCAGGGGCATGCGTTTGAATGAACTAAAACAAACACTGCAAGTCATCATCACCTCACAAGGACTTTTAAAAATAAATCTGGGTGAGGGCCGGCAGCGTGGCCTAGCGGCCAAAATCCTCACCTTGAACACATGGGAATCCCATATGGGCGCCGGTTCTAATCCCTTGTGGCCTGGGAAAGCAGTTGAGGACGGCCCAAAGCCTTGGGACTCTGCGTTTACGTGGGAGACCTGAAAGAAGTTCCTGGATCCTGGCTTCGGATTGGCACAGCACCGGCCGTTGTGGCTCACTTGGGGAGTGAATCATCGGACAGAAGATCTTCCCCTCTGTCTCTCCTCCTCTCTATATATCTAACTCTGTAATAAAAAAAAAATAATAATAAATCTTTTAAAAATAAATAAATAAATCTGGGTGATTTTTTTTTCTCCCACTCTTGGTCCCTTTTGGTTATTAGAATTAGTAATGAAATACATAGAAGCTAATAAACTTGCTTTATTATCTTTTATCCAGAAACATGACCAGTTGGAGGAGGTAGCTACTGCTGGATGACAGTACCGAGGCACACAGCCCCATGGAGGACTCAAGCCCGTCCAGCAGTGTCGACGTGGACAAAGGCTTTGCCATTGCCTTTGTTGTTCTTCTGTTTGTATTCCTGATAGTGATGATTTTTCGCTGTGCCAAGTTGGTGAAGAATCCCTATGAGCCCAGCTCCACAATCACAGAACCATCTCTGAGCTGAAGGGGCACACTTTGCCCACCCTGCTTCACAAAAGACTAGAAAGCTTTTATACAAACCTTCATAACCCAAACCCTAGTACTTCACACCCCTCTTCCCATTTCCCAGCCTTCTCAAGGTTGCATTTCACAATGGGCACAGGACGGGTGAGTTGAGAAAAATAAAAGGAAATGAAACACAAACCAGTTTGCATTGTTCTTCTTCAGGGAAATGATTGTACAAAAGCGGTCAAAGACAGGTTGAATTTATTGGCTAAAATAAGGCCGTGGCTTTCAATTCTGCCACATATAACATCCTTAAAATGGGACAGTGGGTTATACTTTTATGATGTGATGTAATGTAACACAATGTTTAGTAAGGGTTATTTTTTAAACTTTTACTATTATTAACATTTTATGATACACTTCCAAGGCCCTGGGTTTTTTCTTATCCCCTTCCAAAGTACCCTCTCCCTCAACTGAGTTTCCCTATATCATTACTGTAGTATAGTTCTTCATAAACAGTCCTATATTCATCATTGAGTGCATGGACAATATCAGAGACTCCAGCATCCTATGGATAAGGTTAACAGTTCCATTAGGAGTCCATCTTTAGTCTGGAAGTAGAAATGCATTCTGTATTGTATCCTCACATCTGGATATGATAGTCTCCATTACACAGTTACTATACATCCCCTTAAATGAAAAGCCACAATATAAAATCAACAATAGGAAAAAAATAGAAAATTACAATGCCATGAAGTTCTCAAGAGGTTTTGATAGTTCAACAGTCCTGAATTGTTGTCGATACCACCACTCCAATCCCGATGAGATCTCTCCAGAATCCACTTGCTGCTATGGTCAAATTAGAGCTTCCATCTGCCCTGATATTCACTGCTAACGCCTGGTTAAACTAGAAGCTTACATTTAGTTAAGATTTTGACAGCTCTTTTATTCATACAAGAATAAAATTAATTGTTCTACTAAAACCTTTTCGGAGTATGAAATTATGCAAATTCCATTATTTTCAGATGAGCATAGCTCTGTAGCATTAGAAAATTAAATTAGTCCTGGATAAATCTCATAGCCACTCGCCATGCAAATTTTATTCTCTACAAAACAACATGTAAATATAAATATAAATTAAATTAAATAAAAACATGTATTGGGCCTGGGTAGCCTTCCAAGCCCAGGATCCCATACAGGCACTGGGTCGTGTCCCAGCTGCTCCACTTCCCATCCAGCTCCCTGCTTGTGGCCTGGGAAAGCAGTCAAGGATGACCCAAAGCCTTGGGACCCTGCACCCGCATAGGAGACCAGAAGTTACCCTAGGTTATTTCTGTGAGCTCTAAACTAGATGCAGAAAACTGAAAATGAAAAGAGGCTGTTGTGGCTCATGGCTTAAACTGCCACTTATGATCCCACATCAGAGTGCGAGTTCAAGGCCTGGATGCTCCACTTCACACCCAGCGTTCCTGCCAGCGTTCCTGAGTAGGCGGTGGATGATGGCACAAATACTTGAATCCCTGTCACTCACAGACCAGGATGGAATACTGGACTTGCTTTAACCTCACCCTGTTCCAGCTGTATGATTGCTTGGGTCTCTCTCTCTCTGCATCTTTCTCTCTTCCTTTCAAATAAATAAATGAAGAAATATTTTTTTTAAATATGTATTTGTATTTCAGAGGGAAAATTACATAGAGAAGGTTAAATACAGAGAGGAGGCTTTCCATCCACTGGTTCATGCTCCAAATAAGTGCAACAGCCAGAGCCAAGTTGATCTGAAGCTAGGAGCCAGGAGCCTCTTCTGGGTCTCCCATGTAGTTGCTGGGTCCCAAGGACTTGGACCCTCTATTGCTTTCCCAGGCCATTAGCAGAGAGCTAGATCAGAGGCAGACCATTTGAGCCACAAAGTGGCATCCGCATGTGATGCAGCTGCCACAGGGTAGATCAGTCCTTTGAGTCACAGCACTGACCCAAAGGAAGAAAACTTTTCTTTTCGTTTTCCCAAGTTGGGGTAATTCTTTTTTTCCCCTTTATTTTATTTTTAATTTTATGATACAGTTCCATTGGCTCTGGGATTTCTTCTACTCCCTCCCCAAATTCCTTCCCCCAACTGATCTCCCCCATATTATTGCAATAGTATAGTCCTCCATAAGCCGTCATAAGTCCATTGTTCTACTGTTTAAGTATATCCTGACATTGCAGGTAAAGACAATGGCAAACATTCCAGCATCTTATTGTTAACATATATCTAATAGAGCCCGGTGCAGTAGCCTAGTGGTTAAAGTCCTCGTCTTGCATCCATCAGTAAAGGACATTGTGACTCTAGGAGGTCAGCAAGAATAGGATTCTAATTGACAGGATAATATTTGTATGAGGACAACTGAATGGACACCTTTTGTATAACTGATTGCATATCATTTGTATGAGAACAACTGAGTGGACAGCATGTGAATGAGCACACTTGGTGGGATATACAAAACAAGAGTTCCAAATGAGGGTATAGAAGCAATGGATGGGTTCAGTAGATAAACTCAATACCGCCTCCCATATCCTATGTGCCCCTCGATCTATCAGAGTCTGATGCCACTAATAAACTTTGGCTATTAAGCATCAGTAAGAGTCCACATGTGTTATTATGGGCTCCATGCACCAAGCAATCACTGCTGGAAAGCTAACACACTGGGATCCCATATGGGCACCAGTTCTAATCCTGGCAGCTCCACTTCCCATCCAGCTCCCTGCTTGCAGCTTGGGAAAGTAGTTGAGGATGGCCCAAAGTCTTGGGACCTGGCACCTGCGTAGGAGACCTGGAAGAGGCTCCTGGCTCCTGGCTTTGAATCAGCTCAGCTCTGGCTGTTGTGGCAGCTTGGGGAGTGAATCATCAGATGGAAGATATTCCTCTCTGTCTCTCCTCTTCTATGTATGTCTGACTTTCTAATAAAAATAAATAAATCTCTTTTTTAAAAAAGATCTATCCAATAGTTTCGTTGGGAGACAATCTTTGATTTGGAAATAGAGAAGCAAACTGCACTGTATCTTCACATCCGGATATGATAATCTCTATTACTCAGTTACTATAAATTCTCTTAAGTAAAAAGCCATAAAACAAAACCAACAACAGCAGGAATGACGTTTTAAAAATTTACAACACCATGGAGTCAAATAACATGCTACTGAATAACTAATATGTAGCTGAAGAAATAAAAAAAATTTTTAAAAAAAGACCATCCTGAAGCAAACAATGCTATTGTATGACCTAGGAGTCAAGGAGGAAATTAATTAAAAAAACAAAAACTTTTTTGTAGAAATTTTTAAAAATTAAAAATATCGGCCCGGCGCGGTGGTGCAGTGCTTAAGGTCCTCACCTTGCACGCCCGGGATCCCATGTGGGCGCCAGTTCTATCCCAGCAGCCCCGCTTCCCTTCCAGCTCCCTGCCTGTGGCCTGGGAAAGCAGTCGAGGATGGCCCAAAGCTTTGGGACCCTGCACCCGCGTGGGAGACCCGGAAGAGGCTCCTGGCTTCGGATCGGCATAGTATCGGCCCGTTGCGCTCACTTGGGGAGTGGATCATCGGACGGAAGATCTTCCTCTCTGTCTCTCCTCTCTGTATATCCGCCTTTCCAATAAAAAAAAAATAAAAATAAATCTTAAAATAAATAAATAAATAAATAAAAATTAAAAATATCAAAACCCTGAGATGTAGCAAAAATAGTACTGAAATGGGTATTGATCTCCTATTTTGCTTGAAGGTTGTCTTATGTCAAAGAGCACTACAGTATTTGTCTTTTGGGGATTGACTTAATTCACTGGGCATAATGGTCTCTCGTTGGGACCATTTGGTTGTAAGTGGTGAAATGTCATTCTTTTTCATGGCTGAGTAGTATTCCATCAAGTAGATGTATCAGCTTTTTTATCCACTCCTCTTTGGATGGACATCTGGGTTGTTTCCAGGTCTTTGTTATTGTAGATTGTACTGTTGTAAATATAGGATTATAGATCCTTTTCTCATATGCAGATTTCATTTCCTTTGGATATATTCCTAAGGGTGAGATAACTGGGTCATATGGCAGCTTTATTTGCAGTTCTCTAAACACTTCCCATTCTGACTTATCTAGTGGTTGTAATAGCCTACACTCCCACCAGCAGTGAAGAAAGGTACCTTTCTCTTCACATCGATGCCAGTGGGTGTCGTAGCTACCAGTAGTAGCGTTCTGGAGGTTGGCCAACCTCACTGTTGTTAGGTGGAATCATGTGATATTCATTTGTATCTCCCTAATGGCTAGGAAGCCTGAGCATCTTTTCATATGTATCTTTCATCTTACAGAACGAGAATGCTTTTCTTTTTTCATCAGTACATGGAAACTTCTCCAGGATTGACCATGTTATAAGCTACAAAACAAGCTTCAGGAAAAAAAAAAAAGATTTATTTACTTTTATTGGAAAGGTAGATGTACAGAGAGGAGGAGAGACAGAGAGGAAGATCTTCCGTCCGATGATCCACTCCCCAGTTGGCTCAATGGTCAGAACTAAGCCAATCTGAAGCCAGGAGCCAGAGCTTCATCCAGGTCTCCCACTCAGGTGCAGGGTCCCAAGGCTTTGGGCTGTCCTCAATTGCTTTCCCAGGCCACAAGCAGAGAGCTGGATGGGAAGCAGGGCCACCGGGAATTAGAACTGGTGCCCATATGGGGTCCCAGCGTATTCAAGGCAAGGACTTTAGCTGCTACACTATTGTGCCAGGCTGAAGCCTCAGCAAATTTTTTTAAAAATCAAAATTATACCATACATCTTCTCAGACCATCATGGAGTGAAACTAGAGACCAATTAGTCAAAACACCTAGGAAGACATGCAAATACATGGAGACTAAATAATATGCTACTAGATGAACAATGGGTTAGATAGGAAATCAAAGGGGAAATTTAAAAATTGCTTGAAACAAATGAAGGCATCAATATAACATATCAAACCTTATGGTGACAGCATGGCTGGCACCTTGAGTTTGGACTTCTGGCATCCAGAAGC